TTTATTAGCTGTAACAAACCTCAACATTGACACTTACATTTGGTGTTATTTCGTATAAATTACAATTGCTGAAGAATTCGTTAGAAAATTTTTAGTACACACTTACAAGAAATATTGGCCACTCCTGCTCTTCATTGACGCAAAAACAACTATAATAAATATTTAATAGCATCACCTCAGTCCATCTCTGGTTTTTATCCAAACAAGAGTTAAGGCATTTTAAATTTATAATCCCCTGGATTTAGTGAAACAAAGATAACGAGATAAGTTTATTGTTTATGGTACTAATCAAGAGTTGTACTAAGGTAGACGCATTTTTAACAGTCGCATGAAGAATAACGAAAAATGATACCCATTGGAATAGTTTTAATAACGGTATTTTCTGTCGCTTGTTTGGTACTTTTGATTAAGATTATATCGGGAATTTTATTTAGAAAAAAGTTGCAAAAAATGCTCGAACAAGGTAGGTTTTGTAGTTTATTTTTAAACGGTTTCATAGTGTCTGTGTCGCTGTTCTTTAGACTTCTTCTCAAACTATGTCGATATATGTTTTCGTCCAAGTTTGCTTTTCTAATGATTTGAGTTTGTTCTCTGGAGCTACATCGCTCCGTATTATCGCTTTTTCAGCATTCAGATTTCGTGCCCGTAACATTTTAGCTGTTGTTTCTTCTACAATTGCGTACATTCATTCAATACATTCTGCGTACATTTCTAACACTATTTGGTTTGTATATTTTACATATTTTTCACCATACGACCATTTCCATAGTGCTAAATGTTTTTCCTTTGCATATTCTGTCGATATATAAGTTTTAGAATTATAAAATGTAATACTTTTCACAACTGTGTTGTAAATATTTATTTTTCTTCCTTTTTAACGAAATGGCAGCCACACTGGCACAAATACATAATACAAATACACAACGAATATGAGTCTCAACAACTAATATTAAAGAAATGGAAACACAGACAAATTAGGTACGAAAGGTACCAAACTGGTACCAAAAATGGTACCAGTTGAAAGAAGGAAAAGACAAAAACAGACATGGTTAGGAGGCGTTCAAAGAGTAATGTCGCAGAGGAATCTTCAGGCCGGAGAATGGAACGACAGGCTAAATGGAAACTATAAAACGGAAGAATCAGATGCTATGAAAACCAGATGAAAAAAAAAATTGTAACACATGCTTTCTGTGGGTTGGTAAATTGTAGGTGGAGGCTTCTTCCTGTATTCACTCCACAAGTAAACATGATATACAGACAGATATATATGAGTATATTCTTCTGCTTATTTTTTATATTTGTTTTAATTTCAGGTTACTACTTCTTGGAGGTGGACATAAGCTGGGGAAGGAAAATTTTGAAACCTATTCCTCCAGCCAACGTAGATTTAAGTAAGTATTTACCTACCGTATGTTAAAGTTAGGTGAACCTCTTTCTGCAGCTGCTGAATTGTCATTTAGATGCATATTTTCTATTAATTTTTTGAACCTGAAGTGGGTACTAGTCTCCTAAAGAATTTCTCTCCAATCGTCCATATTCATCGCCTTTCTCCGCCAAGCACGTATTCCCATATTTCTCATGTCTTCATCGATGTTATCAAGGAACCCTATTCTAGGTCTTCCTTTGCTCTGATTAATGGTTCTATCTTCTTCTTCTTCAAGCGCCATCTCCGCGGCGGAGGTCGGCAATCATCATAGCTTCTCCAAACTCCATTGTTATTCACTGCTCCATAAACTCGCCGTAGTCCTTTTCTTGCGAAACATCCGAACATGTTTTTATTATTTTTTGTTAAGAGTCTAGATCTCTGAACCATATGTTAGGACTGGGCGTATTATTGTTTTGTGGAGTTTTATTTTTGTATTTCTCGATATAATTGTGGATTTAAGGAGAAGATTGGGCCCAAAATAGCATCTGTTGGCCGTGCAAATTCTACGATTTATATCTGCGGTAGTATTATTTTCAGTTTTAAGGAGCGCTTCCAGGTATACAAATTCGTTCATTGCTTCGATGACGTCGTTTTCTATAACAAGTTGCCGTAGTATTTGTGGTTGCGTGCTTATTTTCATATTATTCGTTTGGTTGGTGTTTATTATTAAATCTATTTTTATAGCTGATTCTTTTAACCGTACATACTCCTCTCGTACAGCTTTTTCGATTCTCCCAACAATATTGATATAATCAGCATAGGCCAGAATTTGCACTGATTTATTATATATTGAACCAGTGGTTGTGATTTGACACATACGTATTACTTTTTCCAGAGCCAGATTGAACAGTGTACAGAAGAGGGGGGCTCCCTGGCACAGCCTTTTATTTGTTTTAAAAGGTTCAGACAGTTTCCCCTGAATTCGTACTCTAAATTCAACTTTTTCAAGGGTTAGTTTTGTTAAATTTACCAACTGGTTTGGTATTCTTAACTATTCCATTGCTTTGAAAATTTCCCTTCTATTCACAGAGTCGTAGGCAGCTTTGTGGTCTATAAATATGTGATATGTGATTCCAGTGTTTTTCCAAAATTTATTTCAGGGTTGCAATCTGATGAATTGTCGATTTACCACCTCTGAAACCAGCCTGGTATTTTCCTACTATCTGTTCTGCATATGGTTCCATATGGTGACATCCTCCTCAGTCGTTTCCTCATTGCTGAGTGTCGTGATTCCCTATAATACGAGCCACTATCTCTTTCCATCGGCTTCTGTCCTGAGCTTCCCTCATGGATTCTGAAAATGTTTTTCCACTGGCTTTCTGTACCTGATCCGTCCATCGAATAGGTGAGCGACCTCTACTTCTGCGCCCTTCAACGTTTCCCGAAATTATAAGTCTCTCAAGATTATCATCACTTCTTCTTGCAATATGGCCGAAAAATTTTAAGACGGTGGAGAGGCAAATAGACGAAAGTCGAGTCTGAATATTAAGCTCTTGGAGGATTGAGTGATTTGTTCTGTGTTCCGTCCATGAGATCCGAAGCATTCTTCTCCAGCACCACAATATGGTGACATAGTACTGTGGAAAATATTTTATATGCTGCATTTAGAAGCGTAATTCCTCTGTGGTTAGAGCATTTAAAGATATCCCCTTTTTTGTGTATGGTGCAAAGTATTCCAATATTCAATTTATTGGGGAGGGATTTATGTATCCATATTTCTTTTATAAGCTGTTGTAATGCCATTATAGTGTCATGGTCATCTTCTTTATACAGTTCAGTTGGGAGATTATCTATTTCGGGTGATTTGTTTCTGGCTAGTTTCTGAAGTACATCTTTAACTTTGATGAACTTCAACTAAGAATCGTTGATGTTTGCTCTTTAGAGGTCAATTGTCCAGAAAAATAAGTTAGCGTAACCACTGAACTCTGTTCTACCAAGACACTTTGATTTTCTTGTGGGTCATTCTCAGATGTTCCTTAAGTTGTGGAATTTACATCAACGGATGAAGAAGGAACACCTTCACCTAGCAATTGTCCAATTCTGCTATTATTAAGATCTCAATCGAACTTACCGCAAACAGAAGTAAATGAAGATGGTATAAAAATGTCATCCACATTGTGTCAAATGTGTATTGACAGCGACAATCGAAATTTGGCGGCAAAGTAAAGTGGGTAATATGTTCCCGTTGTCTTATTAAAGGTTAAGTGTTTAATATAATATTTTGCGGTTTCAAATATAAAATATTCTTCTCAGATGTTTAAATATTGCAATGCCCCTGCATAGCTGTTACTAATGCATACGCTATAAAATATTTCGTAGGACATACTTGCCTACTATATTAGAAACAAGCTGTACATTTTGAATGAAGAGCTAAACAAAATATAATGTGTAATCCTTAACGTAATTAGATGAAGTATTGGCATTTCTTAAAACACGTTCATTGCCAACTACACCCATGGGTGTATTTTAAGGTTTTGTAGAGTTGCCACATACACCCGTGATTGTAGCGCGGTCATAGTACATATTATAGTATAACATATATCATAGTATAACATTTAAACATATGCGATCAATGTAACGCCGGCAATATTCCTAATAGAATAAAATTTGTTAGGCATGTTAAATAAACATCTGTAATGCTGGTTGCTGACAGCAAAGGCTCAGAGAACGATATATGTCAGTTGTCTTCTGGCACCCTAACTGGCGGACTTGTGTGTGTTAAGTCGTAATGTAAACAGACAAATGTCAGTTTTTTGTGTTTAAGTAGTGTTAAGGTCGATTCAGACACATCAGTCACGTCTCGTCACAGTCCTGGCGCCGAACCGAACAATCCGTCATACAAAATATTCTTTAATAGAAATATGGCGCCGGCATTCACATTCATCAAGCGACGAACAGTTTCCCAGCTGTCAGATAATTAATAGTTCTGTGACCAAACAGGACCGGTTCGGCGCCGAGACCGTGACGGGACTGATGTGTCTGAATCGACCTTTATTGTTTTAAATAACGTTATTGTTGACATCTTTCGTTATATTATTGTTATTTAAAATTGTAAAGAATTGACTGGCCAGTTGGTTGTCAAAACCAGTGCCAATAAAACAAACACACAAAATTGTAAAGACATATTGAGTAGTGCTGGGAGATCTAGTGGTAATGAAGCAGAATCGTTCGGTGTAAATAAAAAGAGAATGAGGGTTTCCCAAAAATAATCAAAATATGAGCGCAAGCGTCCTCTAAAAGACGATGAATTGCGACATATTTTAGAATCTGAAGAGGAGGATGCATATATGTCTGCAGGATCCAGCGGTGAAGAATAATCAGACAACAGTGATGAGTGGTGTACTGATGACGATTATGAATTGGAACATTTGACAGAAGAATTGGCAAATCAAACAACTCCGCAAGTTGAAATACCCGGTGCCACTACTTCTGGTAGAAATTCTCCTGTAGGTAGATATAGAATAACTACAAAAACTTAAATTTCGGAGCCGTCCGAACTGATTGTTACAAACGCTAACGAAAATGCTGTAACCATCTTTCTCTCTGAAAACACAAAACAGAAGTCTCATATTACCTCCTGGAAGGAGCTGACTGTGGAAGAATTGAAAACTTTTATCGGATTATTATTGTTAACAGGTACACTGGCGCCGACTACGTGGGTGCTGCGGTGCCCGCGCCCCGGACAGGTAAATCTGTCCGGTGCGAAGCACCGGACGCCGATGGAGGATGGAGTTGAATTTTCTGTCGGCGAACGAACATGGAGAGGAAATTTCTCGCCCGCCCACTCTGCGCGCTTCGGGTTGAATTCTCGGACGTGCATCGTGCATCCTTCACTTGCTGGTTTTGTGTGTTTATTCAATGTTGCAAGATAAACCAGTCGAATATATTTCAATTTGTCAGGCATACGGTGCGTTTTTTTTGGTGAGGGGATGTGCCATCACTGTACATAGATTAAGACAGGTAAGTACAAAGGGGAAATATTTGAAGCGTTTATTTGAAAAACAACATGTTATTGTCCAAGAATTAAAATTTTGGCAAATCAAGAAAAACTGCCCAGCTTCAATTTATTTCAAATCTTTCTTTTACTAAGATATTCATTGGAAGGAATGTGGATATCAAAATAATTTTACAAGTTGATTTCATATTTTTATTGATATATTAAACAAAAATCGGTAGAAACTTAGCGAAATAATCTATATCATCTATAATATTCATAACATTAGAGGAGGTATTGTGTTGAACAGTTTCTGCCATGCTGAACTAGTTTTCTATTACAAAAGAAACAAACATCACCTGTTATTAACAAAGAACGCACACAACTTATTGAACTGATAAATTTATAGACAAAATCATTCACGCTTAGCGATAACCGTTGATTAAGATGGGATAAGTGTTGCTTTTACAACATACCGCTTGGATATCTGTTGTTTTTCTAAAACTATCCGAATATTCTATGTAGTTTACTCCGGACATTTGGGATTTTTACACAACTGAATGTGCGAGATCGATAAAAACTACTATTTTATGCGAACAACATATAAAGTCAAATTTTCAAAAAATGAACATGCGTTGTTTTTCAAATAAACGCTTCAATTGTGTATTAAAATGCTTTTGTTTTGTGACAACACGAATGAAGTATGAAATTTCCATTCTAGATTCCTGATCACTAGAAATGGATAAGTTCATAATACGTACTCCGATACAAACTCATCAGGCTACGAGGAATGAACAACCTGTTCCAGTTCCATCGACATCTGTTAAGAGTTACAATGGTAGTAAAACCATAACGTCTAGTGGAAAGAAGTGCAGACAGTTTAGTGACACGTGGAGTGTCACTTATCCATGGATAACATATGACAGTACACTCGATAAAATTTTTTGTACTATTTGCAAAACAGCAGCCGCATTGAAGCTGCCAATAGCATCGACTGGAATAAATTCGCAGAGAATCTTATCAACTTACGTTACAGAAGGTTTCAACTCGTGGGGTAAAACGTTAGAGAGATTCAAGGATCACGAAAAGTCAGAATTTCACAGACATTCGGCGCTAGGATTGAGACAGAACGATCAAGGCGTAAACGTCGCAAATATGTTGTCAAAGTCTAAATTGAAAGACATGACCGATGCAAGAAAATGTCTTCTCACAATATTTTCCACTATTAAATACTTGACTGTTCAGGGTATTGCTATAAGAGGACACTTCGATAGTACATCAAACTTCAATGATCTGCTTCATTTAAGAGCTAACGATATTCCAGAACTGCAGTCTTGGTTGGGCAGAACAGGATATAAATGGTTATCTCATGATATTTCGAATGAAGTAATGTCCGTTTTATCGAATGCTGTTTAGAGAATTATTCATGACCGTGTCCGTTCGCAAGAATTTTTTTCAATAATTGCTGACGAAACATCAGACATTTCAGTGAGCGAACAAATATGTCTTTCTGTTTGAGAAGCGTGAATGCTTCCTTGGAAGTTGAATAATATTTCATCGGTGTGCACGAGACTGAATCCACAACTGCAGATGTTCTCTATAACATGATTAGAGATGTTTTATTACGTTGTCGATTGGAGATTGGCAATTGTCGCGGACAGTGCTACGAAGGCGCAGCGAATATGAGTGGATGTGTCAATGGTGTTAAAAAAAATCTTCTCGATGAGCCACATGCTATATATGTGCACTGTCACGCTCATAGAGTGAATCTAGTCGTTCAAGATTCCTTCCAGAAAATCTTGCATGTCCGTGATTTCCTCTCTGATATAAAGGACATTATCACTTTCATTCGAGATTCTCCGAAAAGACTCAGCCATTTCAAGCTATTTCAAAGCTCTGAATGAGCTCTGAATGAATGATGTCTTGGAGAGGACGACTTATATTCCGATGGATGGTTTGGATGGAACCTGATGGATTGGTTAACAATTTTATCGTTTACAGTGGAGCAGGGGATGAAACCAGCGGTACTAGTCACACAGAAAAAGTGGTATTGAAGTTGTTAGAGGAGAAATACAGACTAGGACCTTCGATATTTATGGACAGGTTTTGTAATAACTATGATTTGGAATGAAAACTGCTTACAAAAGGAACCTATTGTAGAGGAATATTGATTGCACAGAAATGGAAAAAGTAATCCAGCCCTGTCGTATAAAAAAGATTACAAAAAGGAGAGAATAAATCCATGTTTCGCAACGGAGTTCACGTAGGCAAGTGGAAGGACAAAAGAGAGGTATTATACTTAACTACTATATTCTTACTACGGAATTTGGTAATACAATGACGGAAACCACCAATAAACGAGGTCAAGCAAAGTTGAGACCTACAGCCATTTATGAATATAAAAACATATGTCCGGCATTGACCAAATGCTCGAATATTATCCGTGCTCACGGAAAACTTTAAAGGTATAAGAAATTGTTTATTCAGATACAGCAAATATTGTTACGAAATTCACTAATTTTATACAATAATTATTCAGGACAACCAAGAAACTCGCTATATAATTTCTTACTATTAATTTTGGAGACTATGTTGCCAAAGGGTGGTGTTTAAAAAGGTCTTAAAAATAAAATTGAGCTTGGAGAGTACAAACTGGAAAAAATAGAAAAAACAATTGAAGTAAATGACGGTACAGGAGTTACTTCAAAAAAGGTAAAACGAGTCCTAAGGAAGAAGTGCCTAGTATGCAGGAGGCAAAATAAAAGAAAAGCAACTATTTATATTTGCAACGCTTGCACTGGATCACCTGATTTTTGTGTAGAGTATTTTTTTTAATAATATTCGCCCTAAGTGATTTAAGTGTTGTATTTTTTATGTTTTAATTGCATATTGCCAAAAACTACTGTAAATTTGACTTACACCCATGGGTGTACTTTTCGTGATGATCAAAAGTTATGTTTTTTTCAATAAAATCAAATTTGTAATACCGTTTTTTATTCATTGTAAACATTCAATATAAATATCAGAAAAAAAAGGTGGGCGGCACATCTGATGAACAAGTAGTTAACTAGTGGCAATGAACGTGTTAAGACGAGAAAATTAATTTGTTTATTTTACATTGACTACTCATTTTTTATGATTAATTTTTAAATTAATTTTTATAAATTTCTTTTAGCATCCGGCTCTCCTAGATTAGTCAGCAACATCATAATTCGCCAATGATATAGCGGAAAACATTAATGAAATTATGGAAATTACTTCTTTGTTAATGGTTAAATAAACACAAAAAAAGTTTTAAAGTGTATCTATATTTAATTTTCTAAAAAACTCCCCCCCCCCCCACCGTTTACTTCCTGGTTACCAGAAAGAACGTCTTGATTGAGAAAATGTATTTATTCTACCATCCCGAACTAGAGTAATTTGAATGAATAATTATATTAGATAAAGTAGGGTAAACTGGTCCATAGTGAGACACGGTCCATAGTGGGAATTTAACTCTCCTGGCTATTTTATCATTACGGTAGAGCTATATTTCAGTGTGTATGCTATCATAAAAGTGCTGCCTCCGAATCTTGTGTTAGTTTTTTAATTAGTACTATGCGTTTCGATATTTTGGAAATTCAGGTGAGTGATCAGCTGGAAATTTTTATTTCCATGTTCAGATTTTTTCGAATAATTCGCCGAAATGTACATACATAAGCTCAATATTATCGTATTCTATTTAAACGTAGCTCTAACGCTTCGATAAAATTTTTGTTCATTTGTATTTTGATGCGTCATGGTCCATAGTGGGAATAAAAAAGCGGTCCATACTGGGATATGATAATAGAATGCGGTCTATGCTGAAATATACTACACATTTTCATTCTTTGCAGAATTGAATATGCCGAGATATCCAAGATCCCAACTGTCAGTAGTTTTCGAGAAAAGCCTAGAGAATCATGAAGTATATGCAAGATCTATGCATTCTGCAATAGAAGATGTTGTAAAAAATCAAATGTCATTGATGAATATGGACGAACCCATGGTTTCAAAAGAATATTTACAAGCAGAGAGGAACAGCTATTGTGCGAGTACATAATTCAGACGTGTGAAATGTGCTACGGCTTAACATTAATACATACTCGTGAATTGGCTTATAAGTATGCCATTACTAACAATAAAACGGTGCCTCGAACTTGGCACGAGAAAAAACGAGCTGGAGTCGAATGGTTGAATAATTTTAGGAAACGACACCCTATGTTATCGTTTCGAAAACCAGAAGCAACTAGCCTTGGCAGGGCCACCAGCTTCAACTAGCATAATGTGGCTACATTTTTCACAAATTTGAGAAGTGTAATAACGAAATATAATATCCAGTCGAACCAGATATACAATTGTGATAAGACTGGTGTCATCAATGTGCATAATCCCGGGAAGGTACTTGCTAGCATTAAACAAAAACAAATTGGAAAAGTAGCAAGCGCTGAAAGGCGCACATTTAATAACAATGTGCACTGCAATATGCGCTAATGGGACTTTTGTGCCTCCATTCTTTGTATTCCCAAGGAAAATATTTAAGCCTTTCATGCTTACTGGGGCTCCTCTAGGATCAGCCGGTGCAGCGTTTCCTTCTGGTTGGATGACGGGAGATAATTTTTTAAAGTATATAGGGCACTTTATCAAGAACACGTGCGATGCAGTAAAGAATTCCCAGTTCTACTAATTCTTGACAACCATAAGAGTCGTTACGATGTTCGTGTGCTGAATCTATGTAAAGAGAATGGGATTATTTTATTAACATTGCCGCCCCATGAGTTGCTTCTTTCCATTTAAAAGCTATTATAACCAAGGAGTTGATGACTGGAAGCTAAATCATCATGCCATACCTATGAACATTTATGATG